GCAAGAAAAACGACTCAATCAGGGATCGAACCTGAAATCTTCTGATGTTGTGTCAGATGTGTTACCATTACACCACTGAGCCGTATATAGTGAGAAGTATTTTATTACAGTGTTTTAAGATATCGTTGACATTTAGCGCATAAGAGATTTAGGTCACCAACGCACTGATCATAGATTAAAGTTTTCTCAGGGTTTTTGACTTCTTTCTTCTCAGCGACTCTCTTTTGCTCTCTTTGTTGTCTCCTCATTTCTTTTCTTTTGAGTTTTCGAATATACTCTTTTAGTGTGAGAATGTGAGTTTCTTTGAGTTTTAAAACAGCCTTCAGATGTTTTATTTCTGCTTGACAGCCAAACCAAGCTTCCCCGATTTCCTTAGTCGTTGACATCTTCAAAGCGTGAGCATTAAAAAAGTTCCTAGAATGTCTGTATAGTTTTATAAGAAACGCGTTCCGGTCAGTGCTTTCGTGTGCTAATTCACGCGCGCTTCAAAATTTGCATGAAAACTCGCTAAGTCAGCTAAAATAATGTTGCTCCTAGGTCTTAGAAAAAAAAGAAGACCTGAAAGAGAGAAAGAATTGAACCCGTAAGCTTTAACGTAATGAAAAGTTACCTGTCGTCAGTACTAATGCTTAACGCCTTGCGCTACGCACGTTCCCGACGAAAGAAAAAGAAAAAATAAACTAGTCTTTCTCATTATTGGTCATTGACTTTAAATCATTTGGTGGTTCTTAAAAGAACCGTTTTGTCATAAGACATTTAGTAGGATCTGTTTTTCCTACTTAGAAATTGGCTGTGGTATGTGAAGGTGAACGGGTAGGCTGAAATTATTTGCCATTTCTCGCCTGGTACTTTCTCAGAGTAATACACTGCAATGTGCTTGGCAGGAAAGCCTTCCGGATCTGTACCAATTTGCCGGTTTAGTTTAAACACGAACAAATAAAAGCGTCCATGATATTCGTTCCAGCCCTCGTGTATTACGGAGACGTCTTCGTGATGTTCCCAGGTGATTTCGGAGACAGCCTTTAACAAATCGACTAAATCGATTTGTGACTCAAACTTAGAGGCTCTCAAATGTTCGTTCTTTGAAACATGCCTCTCGTTAATATGCTCTGCTTGTTCTTGCGTTAGGAAAGTTCCCTCGGCTTCAAAAGGCGAAGCCATCGTTGAAAATAAAATTTTTTCTGGTTCATCTTAAAACAGATTGCAAAACAAAAGAGTCCAACTTGAAAAAGAGCGAAAAGGGTAATTGTTTCTGCCGCCAACCGTTAAACTTAAAAGAGCAGCGAACTTTTTTGCCGCTAAGGTTTAAAACTTGAAAGAACGGCGAAAAGGTAATCGGTTTTTGCCGTGCCGCATTTGTTGTCCCCGCACCAATGAGCGTGAATCTCCCATGAACAGCATAAAGCAAGGCTAAGTTTGCGAAAAGTCACTCCGCTCTGCTCATCACACTGTCAAGATATCCGTTGCTCAAGATGAAGACTTTGTACCAACTCGCCTTTGAAGCAGTGCCCAACAAGGGTTTGATGGCAGAAACGTTTTTGGTTCCATGGCATCCAGTGGCAAAAGAACTTCAAGCGCAGCAATACATCGAAGACAGAAATAAGTATAAACAAGAACATTGCGTCAATTTCAGGTTTGTCTACGCAGATTTGTGTTTTATCGAAGCCTGGTTTTCAAACTCAAAAATTTACCCGAGCAATGTTGCGTTTTTAAATCGATTGTGGAAACAAATCGACGATTTACTTTAGTTCATGTTGCTTTTTAGACCGATTCTGGAATCCCTGTTTTGGATTAGAGATTGCACATGGTTAAGTGTGAAGACCAAATGTTGTATGATTGAACTGTAAAACGTGTTTCTAAACGCGCTTGTTGATGTTTGTTTTAGAAAATGTTTAACTCAGCTGAAACTTCAAAGATGGAATACGTATTGTCATAAAACCGAATGGATCGCAATTAAGTACGGAGAAGACGGAAGATGTCAACATTGTAAAAAAATTAGGACAACGGGTTTAACGTTAGATGGATTACGTTTGAAAAGGCAAAAACAAAAAGTTGACCGAAATGAGGAAACACGTTTAATACGTCTTTTTTACTATACTCGTAGATAATTATTCGATTGAACGTGTTTTTAAACGCGCTTCTTGATTGTTTTATTTTTAGAAATTGTTTGAATCAGTTGAAACAGCGAAGATGGAACATGTATTGTCATAAAACAGAATGGATTCCCGTGAATGCGAAGATACCTATGTGTTCCCAATGTAAAAGAATTAGGACAACCCAGTTAACATTAGACGGTTTACGTTTAAAAAAGCAAAAGAAATTTGTTGATAAAAATGAAGAGGCGCGTTTAATTCGACGTTTTTACTATACGCAAATTCGTAGACGCTTAGAATTTATGTAAGTTTTGTTTTTATTCTCTTTAGAAAATGTTTGCGACAAATCAAGAATCGCCATTTCTGTAGATCAGCCCAATGGCTTTCTTTTAATCAAGGAAACTGTTCACAGTGTCTGAGAATTGCTGTTGAATGTTTGAGCGTGGAGGGTCAAATGAGACATGACCGTTATGAAAGAGTTAATTTTGAAAGGGAACGACGCAAAATCTTTAAGTTATATAGGGGTACGCAAATTTTAGAAAGGCGTCAGGTACTTGAACAAAGAGTGATGCAGTCTTTGGGTTTTGTTTAAGATTATCAAGATGACTTTGTTGGACCAGATTCATTAGGGATCTGATATGCTCCAGTTTGTAAATAAGAGAAAAGCGCTTTGAAAAGGACTTAGCCGACTAGCGGTTAAATACGTTCCTCTCATTGCATTTACTAAGAAAGTTATTGTACCGTTTTACCGAAGGGAGGTTAAATGAACATAAAGTTAAGTTTGTGTGTAATTTACTTGTGTCTTTGGGAAAAAGAAATGAACTGAGATCTGTCAAATGAACACTCAGGCTGGGAGGGGTTTTCTTAGAACTTAATGAACACTCAAGAAAAAGAAAAGATTAAAGCTGAATCAACCAAAATTTCTTAGAAAACGAACAAAGAGTAAAGCTGAATTAGCCAGAATTTCTTAGAAAACGAACAAAGAGTATAGCTGACTCAGCCAAAAATTAATTAGAAAAACGAACAAATATTTATTATAGAGGGATCAGTTAAAAAATTAATTAGAAAAAGAACAAAGAGTATAGCTGACTAAGTTAAAATAGGTCATTAGGCAATCTTGGGCAGCCTTGAATGTTCTTTGTCCATTATGACTTAATGAAATTCGAAGCACGCGCTCCCAGCTAATTATACTAAGTCACGTCTCTGAAAGCGTCATTCAGTTTTTACTGTCTTACTGTGCGGAGCTAATCCAAACGATCTTCAAAAACGTACCATGGATCCTTACATCCGTGCGCTTATAGAGAATGATGGGTTAGAAGAGGTTTTAGCCGAGGTGCAAGAATGGACGGTTAGTCAGGGAGAGGAACTGATGGATTCCGATGACGAATTAGACCTGTTAGCCGCTTCGCGCAGAGCAGATCAGTAGGGTGGAAATCGGCCATTTGCCGTTAATATGGAACGAATTGGTCCGATACGGCGATGGAGAGATGGTGTAGCGGTTCAGCACGCTGTTCGCTCCACAGTTGCGCCCTCCTAATGGTGAATTGCAGGGAGAGGCGATTACTGAAGCAACGATTCAAGGCCTGAATGAATACGTTCGTGATCCCCGAAATGAACTTGGACGCATTGAAGATTTGTCTATGTCCATGGCTGTTCATCATAGCACAGGCACGCATACATGGACCAGTACACGGCCTATTCCATTAGAAGAGTGGCTTAATCGCAGCGAATACACTGAACATTGGTTAGATAAACTAGCCAAGCAATTAAACTCAGCTGAGAGTTTTGATGCAAGCAGTGGCGAATTTCACATTGAACTGTTGTTTTTTAAGAATCGTCAACGCGGAAGCGGTCGTAAAGGCAAAAAAGGAAACCTCGGCAGTATGTCTAATGAAGACATGCTCAAAAAGAAGAAATGCCTTATCACGATCAAGAATAAAGATGAACTTTGTGCTTCGCGCGCAATTGTCACGATGCAAGCCCTTGCTGATGGAAATCCACAGTATAAGACCCTCAAAAATGGTAGCGGTCAGCAAGGCTATCTTGCCCATAAACTTTGTCAAGAAGCCGGGGTAGCTGAGGGATCGTGTGGTGCCGAAGAATTGCTGCAGTTTCAAGATTATTTAGGTCCTCGAGATTATCAGATCATTGTCTTTGAAGGACAACGAGGCATGATTTGGTTCAAAGACCGCGCTTACAATGATGCATCCAAAAAAATTTGTCTGCTCAAAGTAGAAAATCACTTTCACGGGGTGCGTAGCATTCCAGCCCTGTTAAACAGATGTTTTTATTGCCATCACTGCGAGAAAGGCTACAGCAATGAGACGGCCGAAAATCATAATTGCCGGGGGCAGAACTGTAGTAGTTGCAGAAGAACGAATGGAGCTTGTCCTAATTTCGCGACCTATGTGACACCAGAAGTTTATTGTGATCAATGTAATCAAACGTTTTACGGACAGAACTGTTATGATGCACACAAACAAGGAGCGAATAGTGTTTGCAGTCGATTTAAAAAGTGTCACGAATGCTGTCAAGTTTACAAGTTCCATCCCAAAAAGAAACATCGCTGCTATCACGCTCTTTGCCGAAACTGTAAGGAAGTCACACACGTCAATCACCGTTGTTTTATTCAACCCATTGTGGATGAAGACAAAACAGCGTGGGGTCCGCGTATGGTCTCAGAGGATGCGACCGAAGAAAGGATGATGGATTTTGAAGAGGCAGAGAGCGAAGGAGACAGTGAAGGAAAAGAAAAAGTGGAAGCCATGATTTGTGCCATGGACTTTGAATGTACGCAGAATGAAATCGAAGAGTTTGAAGTAGTGCGTGTTGGATGGAAATATCTGGATGAGAACGATGGTTATCAGGAAGCGGGAACGGCGATGGATGTGTTGCGTGACGCGCAAGCGAGAACTGTCACGGAGGACGGAAAAGAACGCAAAATCTATGTGTATGCTCACAATATGCGTGGGTTTGATTCATCCTTTATTTTGCATGCTTTGTATGATCTGGGCTACCAGATTGTGAAAGTATTGAGTGTGGGAGCCAAGTATTTGTCGTTCGAATGCGGTAACCTTATTTTTCGTGATTCGTTAAATTTTTTTAATATGGCATTAGAGAAATTACCGGCGACATTCAATTTGACGGCAACACACAAGGGATTCTTCGCGTATTCGTGGATACGCGAAGACAAGTAGCAGTACGTGGGCGTTTATCCACCAGCAGAGGACTATCACCCAGAAAGGATGTCAGAGAAAAGACATAAAGAATTTTACGCATGGCACAAAGAAAAAGTGGAAAGCAATGCGGTGTTTGATTTTAAGAAAGAACTCTCTGCCTATCTTCATAGCGATGTTGAAGTCCTCGCTCAGTCCTTGGAAGCATTTGGAAAAGAAATGGTTGAACTGACTGGAATTAATCCAGTGACTGAATGCGTTACCATCGCGAGTACCGCCAACAAAGTGTGGAGAAAGAACTTTCTGATTCGAGACCTTATTGCACTTGAACCCAGAAACGGTTGGCGTCAAAACCAGCAGAATCAAAGTGTGGAGGCCCTGCAATGGTTGGAGTTTGAAAATTCCAAGATTGGAGGTGGAATTCAGGTAAGATATTTAAATTGCAGTAAAAGTATGCACTTAAGAAAATTCATGGGCAGTGTTTTACCGCATTTTTCAGTTCGCGAGTTGTTTCATACTGTGAAATGGCAAATGCACACTACATATCAAAAATTACAAGGAATTGTATGGGAAATATGTGTAAAAAAAAAAATTTAAATGTTAAGTTGCAGTGTTTTACTGCATTTTTTAGTTCGCGAAATCAATTGAACTGTGCATTTGTGTATGCACGCTGTAAAAATTATAATCTGCGGACCGCGCAGAAAACAATAACAAATGTATATTTTTCTATTTTTCAGCATGTGCGAAACTCACTCGATGGCGAAGCCCGTGTTTTAACCCCAGCTCAGTCCTACAATGTGGATGGTTATCATGCAGACAGCAATACAGTGTACGAGTATAACGGATGCATTTTTCACGGTTGTAAACGATGTTTCCCCCTCAACCGTCAGAAGAAAAGACACTGCCATCCAGACCGAACCATCGAAGAGGTCTACGAAGCCACCTGTCTGAAGACTGCAATCCTGCGAGACGCTGGCTACACCGTGATTGAAAAATGGGGCTGCGAATTCGCGCAAGATCAGAAAACCGATCCAGAGTTGCAGTCCTTTCTAAAAACCTTCGAAATGGTCCCTCCATTAGAACCTCGAGACGCGTTCTTTGGTGGCCGAACGGGCGCTACGACCTTGTACGCCAAAGCCGCGGGTGACGAAGAAATTAGTTATCAAGATTTCACCTCACTGTACCCCTGGGTGAATAAGTATGGCACTTATCCAGTACGTTTTCCTGAAATTATCCTGAATCCAGCCAACCAGAACATCCATGACTACTTTGGTANTTAAGTTTGTGTGTAATTTACTTGTGTCTTTGGGAAAAAGAAATGAACTGAGATCTGTCAAATGAACACTCAGGCTGGGAGGGGTTTTCTTAGAACTTAATGAACACTCAAGAAAAAGAAAAGATTAAAGCTGAATCAACCAAAATTTCTTAGAAAACGAACAAAGAGTAAAGCTGAATTAGCCAGAATTTCTTAGAAAACGAACAAAGAGTATAGCTGACTCAGCCAAAAATTAATTAGAAAAACGAACAAATATTTATTATAGAGGGATCAGTTAAAAAATTAATTAGAAAAAGAACAAAGAGTATAGCTGACTAAGTTAAAATAGGTCATTAGGCAATCTTGGGCAGCCTTGAATGTTCTTTGTCCATTATGACTTAATGAAATTCGAAGCACGCGCTCCCAGCTAATTATACTAAGTCACGTCTCTGAAAGCGTCATTCAGTTTTTACTGTCTTACTGTGCGGAGCTAATCCAAACGATCTTCAAAAACGTACCATGGATCCTTACATCCGTGCGCTTATAGAGAATGATGGGTTAGAAGAGGTTTTAGCCGAGGTGCAAGAATGGACGGTTAGTCAGGGAGAGGAACTGATGGATTCCGATGACGAATTAGACCTGTTAGCCGCTTCGCGCAGAGCAGATCAGTAGGGTGGAAATCGGCCATTTGCCGTTAATATGGAACGAATTGGTCCGATACGGCGATGGAGAGATGGTGTAGCGGTTCAGCACGCTGTTCGCTCCACAGTTGCGCCCTCCTAATGGTGAATTGCAGGGAGAGGCGATTACTGAAGCAACGATTCAAGGCCTGAATGAATACGTTCGTGATCCCCGAAATGAACTTGGACGCATTGAAGATTTGTCTATGTCCATGGCTGTTCATCATAGCACAGGCACGCATACATGGACCAGTACACGGCCTATTCCATTAGAAGAGTGGCTTAATCGCAGCGAATACACTGAACATTGGTTAGATAAACTAGCCAAGCAATTAAACTCAGCTGAGAGTTTTGATGCAAGCAGTGGCGAATTTCACATTGAACTGTTGTTTTTTAAGAATCGTCAACGCGGAAGCGGTCGTAAAGGCAAAAAAGGAAACCTCGGCAGTATGTCTAATGAAGACATGCTCAAAAAGAAGAAATGCCTTATCACGATCAAGAATAAAGATGAACTTTGTGCTTCGCGCGCAATTGTCACGATGCAAGCCCTTGCTGATGGAAATCCACAGTATAAGACCCTCAAAAATGGTAGCGGTCAGCAAGGCTATCTTGCCCATAAACTTTGTCAAGAAGCCGGGGTAGCTGAGGGATCGTGTGGTGCCGAAGAATTGCTGCAGTTTCAAGATTATTTAGGTCCTCGAGATTATCAGATCATTGTCTTTGAAGGACAACGAGGCATGATTTGGTTCAAAGACCGCGCTTACAATGATGCATCCAAAAAAATTTGTCTGCTCAAAGTAGAAAATCACTTTCACGGGGTGCGTAGCATTCCAGCCCTGTTAAACAGATGTTTTTATTGCCATCACTGCGAGAAAGGCTACAGCAATGAGACGGCCGAAAATCATAATTGCCGGGGGCAGAACTGTAGTAGTTGCAGAAGAACGAATGGAGCTTGTCCTAATTTCGCGACCTATGTGACACCAGAAGTTTATTGTGATCAATGTAATCAAACGTTTTACGGACAGAACTGTTATGATGCACACAAACAAGGAGCGAATAGTGTTTGCAGTCGATTTAAAAAGTGTCACGAATGCTGTCAAGTTTACAAGTTCCATCCCAAAAAGAAACATCGCTGCTATCACGCTCTTTGCCGAAACTGTAAGGAAGTCACACACGTCAATCACCGTTGTTTTATTCAACCCATTGTGGATGAAGACAAAACAGCGTGGGGTCCGCGTATGGTCTCAGAGGATGCGACCGAAGAAAGGATGATGGATTTTGAAGAGGCAGAGAGCGAAGGAGACAGTGAAGGAAAAGAAAAAGTGGAAGCCATGATTTGTGCCATGGACTTTGAATGTACGCAGAATGAAATCGAAGAGTTTGAAGTAGTGCGTGTTGGATGGAAATATCTGGATGAGAACGATGGTTATCAGGAAGCGGGAACGGCGATGGATGTGTTGCGTGACGCGCAAGCGAGAACTGTCACGGAGGACGGAAAAGAACGCAAAATCTATGTGTATGCTCACAATATGCGTGGGTTTGATTCATCCTTTATTTTGCATGCTTTGTATGATCTGGGCTACCAGATTGTGAAAGTATTGAGTGTGGGAGCCAAGTATTTGTCGTTCGAATGCGGTAACCTTATTTTTCGTGATTCGTTAAATTTTTTTAATATGGCATTAGAGAAATTACCGGCGACATTCAATTTGACGGCAACACACAAGGGATTCTTCGCGTATTCGTGGATACGCGAAGACAAGTAGCAGTACGTGGGCGTTTATCCACCAGCAGAGGACTATCACCCAGAAAGGATGTCAGAGAAAAGACATAAAGAATTTTACGCATGGCACAAAGAAAAAGTGGAAAGCAATGCGGTGTTTGATTTTAAGAAAGAACTCTCTGCCTATCTTCATAGCGATGTTGAAGTCCTCGCTCAGTCCTTGGAAGCATTTGGAAAAGAAATGGTTGAACTGACTGGAATTAATCCAGTGACTGAATGCGTTACCATCGCGAGTACCGCCAACAAAGTGTGGAGAAAGAACTTTCTGATTCGAGACCTTATTGCACTTGAACCCAGAAACGGTTGGCGTCAAAACCAGCAGAATCAAAGTGTGGAGGCCCTGCAATGGTTGGAGTTTGAAAATTCCAAGATTGGAGGTGGAATTCAGGTAAGATATTTAAATTGCAGTAAAAGTATGCACTTAAGAAAATTCATGGGCAGTGTTTTACCGCATTTTTCAGTTCGCGAGTTGTTTCATACTGTGAAATGGCAAATGCACACTACATATCAAAAATTACAAGGAATTGTATGGGAAATATGTGTAAAAAAAAAAATTTAAATGTTAAGTTGCAGTGTTTTACTGCATTTTTTAGTTCGCGAAATCAATTGAACTGTGCATTTGTGTATGCACGCTGTAAAAATTATAATCTGCGGACCGCGCAGAAAACAATAACAAATGTATATTTTTCTATTTTTCAGCATGTGCGAAACTCACTCGATGGCGAAGCCCGTGTTTTAACCCCAGCTCAGTCCTACAATGTGGATGGTTATCATGCAGACAGCAATACAGTGTACGAGTATAACGGATGCATTTTTCACGGTTGTAAACGATGTTTCCCCCTCAACCGTCAGAAGAAAAGACACTGCCATCCAGACCGAACCATCGAAGAGGTCTACGAAGCCACCTGTCTGAAGACTGCAATCCTGCGAGACGCTGGCTACACCGTGATTGAAAAATGGGGCTGCGAATTCGCGCAAGATCAGAAAACCGATCCAGAGTTGCAGTCCTTTCTAAAAACCTTCGAAATGGTCCCTCCATTAGAACCTCGAGACGCGTTCTTTGGTGGCCGAACGGGCGCTACGACCTTGTACGCCAAAGCCGCGGGTGACGAAGAAATTAGTTATCAAGATTTCACCTCACTGTACCCCTGGGTGAATAAGTATGGCACTTATCCAGTACGTTTTCCTGAAATTATCCTGAATCCAGCCAACCAGAACATCCATGACTACTTTGGTATCGCGCAAGTAGATATCCTGGCTCCCGAGCGCCTATTCCATCCGGTGTTACCTGTCAGAGAAGGAGGAAAGCTAACGTTCCCTCTCTGCAGAACCTGCGTGAAAGAAGAAATGGCCAAACCACTCCTAGAACGCAGCAATATGTGCGGTCACACACGTGAACAGCGAATCTTACACGGCACCTGGTGTACTCCGGAACTGCAAAAAGCGGTAGAAAAAGGATACGAAATCCAGAAAATCCATGAAGTCTGGCATTTTACCCCAGAGAACCGCTGCACCGGACTGTTTGCAGAGTATGTCAACACCTGGCTCAAACTAAAACAGGAGAGCGCTGGCTGGCCCAGTGATTGCGTTACTCCGGAGCAGAAAGCAGAGTATGTCCGAGACTACGAGGAACATGAGGGGATTAAACTGGAACATGTCGCAGAAAATCCTGGACGGAAATCTATTGCCAAAATGCTTTTGAACAGGTAACTAGTTATGTTAAAACGTTTTTACGATGAAACCACGATGAAACCCCGATAAAACAATGAAACCACGATGAAACGGCGATTCATCGTCGACGAAACCACGATGAAACCACGATGAAAAATGTTTTAAAGTTTAAGTTGCACACTTTTTCCACAATTAAAATTTTTTTAGTGCAGTAAAAGTCTGCACTTTTTAAATTTAAATTGCAGTGTTTTATTACATTTTTAAGTTCGCGAAATGTTTTGTATCGTGCATTTACCGATGCATAGTACTGATCAAAATTTACAAGGATTTGTATGAAAAATGGTTAAAAAAGTCTGCAGTTAAGAATTTTAAGTTGCAGTGTTTTACTGCATTTTAAGAATCGTGAATTATTTCCACCTGTGTAACGACAAATGCAAGCGACAAATCAAAAGTTATAATCTGCGGACCGCACAGAAAACAATAACAAACTGTTCTTTCTTTTTTCTGTCTTTCAGTTTATGGGGAAAATTTGGCGAACGCCAAAACAAGCCCGTGACCCACTGCATTACACAACCAGCTGACCTCTTCAGAATCCTGGACGATTCCTCCTTGTTTATCTCTGCCATACGTATTTGCTCCGAAGACGTGATGGAGATCGTGACAACCACCGCGGAAGAGGAATATGAACGCAGCTTTAAAACCAACGTGTTCGTGGCGGCGTTCACCACATCACTAGCCAGATTGAAACTCTACGAGGCCCTTGATTTTCTAGGTGACCGATGTCTGTATTACGATACAGACTCGGTCATTTACAAAACCAAACCGGGCCAGGAGAAACTTCCGCTTGGCAGGTACCTCGGGCAATTTACAGACGAGCTGGGAGGCGACAGCATCGTAGAATTCTGTAGCGGCGGCGCCAAAAATTATGGCTACCTAACCAAAAAGGGCAAAGTCGAGTGCAAAGTTCGTGGGTTCACACTCAATTATGAAGCACTGCAGACCTTAAACTATTACACAATGCGCGACAACATCCTGAAAGAACTGGACGAACCCCTTCAGCAGCGCAGAGAGATGGCTATCACCATTACTGATTTCTTTGCACGGGATCAAACGACCAAGAAAATTAAACTCACAGAACGAGTGAAAAAGTATGGACTTGTCTTTGACAAACGTGTCATTGATCCTGCCACTCGCGTGTCCACACCATACGGATACAATTGGTTCGGCGGAGACGCAGAACTGTTACTTTCATTGTAAATAGTTTTTTCTAAATTTTTCTTAAAGGAGGTAAGGTAGCATGGAGGCGCTAACCTCTTTATATGAACATTTTGCATGCTTTTTAACTATTTGAGATTAAATTAGGAGTAGGGTTTGTAACGTTTCATCGAAGGGAGGTGAAATGGCCTAATAAACTAAGTTCGTGACTCAAATTATTTGTGTGGTCTCTGTTAGTATAAATAGAGGGGACATGGATGGATAAGTTACTTTTCGTAAAATGCCGAACATTTACCTGACCCTCGTAAGCGATGTCACCCAAAATTACGCGAGTAATGTGGCAAATCAGTTTAAAGTCAAACCATTTACCTGACCCTCGTAAGCGATGTCACCCAAAATTACGCGAGTAATGTGGCAAATCAGTTTAAAGTCAAACCTCGGTTAAGATTACACGGGGAAGGATGGAAAGTCTCAATTGCTTCGGCAATTTTGCCTAAAATGTCTCTATTTAAAGACTTGCAGAGTGCCGATGTGAATTTAATGGAATTATGGGCTGAGACTGAAAAAGCAAATCAATCCGGTGTGTCGCAAAAAGGCTATATCAGTGCAAGTGATTTACGTGAATGGGAAAAAGCAGGCGCCTGTCATGAAGGGGTGGATTTTTTTAATACAGTGAAACATAGAATAGAAGAAACAGCGCACGCTAGTTTGGATGATGGTTTTAAGTTTAGTTCAGCCCGTTGGCATACATTAGCGTGGAATAAAGACGGTGTGCAACCGGAACTCGTCTTAACTCATAGCCATACGGACAATTCAATTTATGTCTACAAACCGTTGGCGGAAACATTGCATTGGATAAATACCAAGTCTAATCAAGCCGATAGCATGGGACCAAATTTGGTACATAGCTACCCCAATCACACTAAAGGAGCCAGTTCCTTGGAGACGGGAAAACCCACCCAAATACTTGGCAATTGGCTTCATTTAAGTACTCTCTCCGATTGGCGTTTTATTAACCTCAATCAAAGTTTTGAAGATGCCTTAAACCTCTACCCCAGGCCCCTGGAAGTCTCAGCCAAAGTGACCGCTAACAGCGTGACCGTCACGCAATCACTGGGTCAAGTGTACTACGCGCCTCAAGGAAGAGAACGCTATGCATTTTAACCCACCCGAGAAAACTTTTACGAGGTACAAGACAATCATTGGGAAGAGGTTGAAATCACGCTCAAAGAATTTAATGGCAATCTAGTTGAATTTCAATCAGATAGTCAATGTGTGATTCAGTTACATTTTACCAAGAATTAAAACAAGGCACTTTAAATGTAAACAAAATTTAATCGGCAATAAAGAAAAAAAAAAGTTACAGTTTTAGTTTGCGTTTTGCTTGCATAAAGGTTTTGACGATCCGTTCTTGTTTGGTTTTCTTGCCTGGGAGGTTTGTAATAGCGCGTATCATTTTATCGTCCGCTTTCCACTTGTCCTGTAAATTTTTCGCTTTGGAATAATCGACGTCATGGATTTTCGCTAATTCGACTAATCTGTTGACGCCTCGGTCACCCCTCCTTAGTCTTTTTTGAAGCCTGGTCCCTGGACCAAGAAAATTTGCTTTAGGCCAATGAAACTCTTTGCCTGTTTTTTCAATTAATTTTTAAATATCCAACGCACCCCCACGCTGACCGCCCTTTTTTCCCTTTTGCGGTCTTTTTCTGCGAGCCTTCCTTTTACCAATCTTTGCCATCTAATCGTCTTTTTGCTGGTGTCCCAAACGGTTTCCAACCTGGAGCAGGTGCGAGTTTCTTTAAGGCTCTTTCTGTAGCTCTTTTTGATGCCTCGTTAAATTTTTTTTCAATACTCTCCCGAGCTTTTTTCCAAAGGGAATTAGCAGCAAAGCCTTCTTCTTCTTCCGCTGTACTAAAAACACTGGAAGGAGGGGAAGGAGTCTTTTCCTTTTTAGGGGTCTTGTAACCAGATGAAGGAGTCTTTTTAGGGGTCTTAGGTAACAGCCGCTTTGCTTTGGATTCGGTCTTAAACGTTAACTTGGGTTTTTTACTCGTAGAAGGAGTTTGTTTGACCACAGGCGTTTGTAACACTGATTGAGGGGTCACCGGTTCTGCTTTCCTTTTTATAGCCTTACTGATTTTGGAAATATTTCCCATAAAATGTTGTAACGGGCCTACGGCTAAATTTTCATCATCACTGTCGTCTTCATCGCGACTTATTCCTCGTGTTCCTCCTGGTTGACGAATTTTCTTGACCCATTGTAATTCTTGGTTGACTGATTTTAAACGGGGTTCTTTCCATGTATCCGGTGCAGGACTCTCCAACAAAAGTTCTTTTTGAGCTGCTAAACCTGCTGCTTTGGTTAAACGACTATCGTCTAAAAGATTGGATTTATATTTATCTCGCAAACGTAAAAATTGCACTGAGTTTTCAATCGGTGTGGATGAAATGCCGTCCATACTTGCTAATGAAAATAAGAGTTAAGCATTGTCTTTATATCTGTTTGGGTCTGCATCTCTCTTTGACTTTTTGTCGAAACTCTTTGATCATTTGTGCGAGTAGAAGCAAATAGTCTAATACACAAAGAAGTCGTTGTAACACTTTGCGTTTCATGACTTAATAGTGATATTGCCGTTTAGCCAGTGATAACAGCGATGTAATTCTTTCCACGCCCCAGCACCTATCTGTGTACTCATCAAGTGTTTGCGCTTTTTTATACTCTGACGAGGGTTGGCAATGACTCGAAGAGATTGGCGATAGGGTTTTAAACGACTCACTGTTTTTCTCCCAGGTTTGACACTCCCACGCAACGTGTTCATCACTAACTCACTCACAGCATTAATTTGATCTGCATTTGCATACCGTAATTTTTGTTGCCGTTTATTTTGGTTAGCTTCTTTTAACACATCGTTTAAAAAATGACTCTGTCTGGTCATACGTCCTGTCATGTTTATTTCTTTCTTCGTGTTCGTTGACGTCTCTTCCTTTTATACTTCTTTTTCTCTAACACTTGGATTGCTTTTCTAGTACCAAAATTTGTTAATGCACTTAAACCTCCTAACGCGGCCGCTTTTCCTCCAGCCGCTAAAGCTGGAATCGCTGCAGCTGACATGGGAGCAATCCCGCCTCGTTGTCTTCCTCCCCCTGGTTTACCTTTTCTTCTTTTTGGGTGTCCTTTTCGTTTCATGTTGAAATTGGCGTTTGTTTGAGAGTGAACGGCTATTTATATCTTCGTCAAACGTATGAACACGGGTAGCTCCCTCTTCTTTGGTTAAATGACTCCAAATGCGAAAACAGTCATCGGAGGCAGGATGTAAATCCAACATAAAATACCCAAAAGGACGGGAGGTCAGCTTTAAAAACAATTTGAGTACTTGAAGCCATTTTTCAGGGTACACCTGAAGCAGTAAATGTCGAATACCTGTCTTATCCCTGGGTGATTTAAAACAAATCACATAGTGTGCATTGCGGTTAATGGTTTTCGCAAACTTGCCTGGGGCAAAGAGATCTTGTGTAATATAAAGAGCGGTAATGCCTCGATGGTGAGAATCTTTCGTAAATAAATCCAAGACGCGTTTATCACTCCCCGATTCTTCCATTAAATCATTCAAAATGAGTATGCCATGATGCTCTGGTTTAAACCATTTTACGAGAGTCCCTACAGGAGGAAGTCCTTTGTAAAACATAATATGTTTTTTCATGCGATCAAATCGGGGTTGCCATCGGTCATAACAATACACTATTTTTTTCGGAGGAGGGTCAAACAATGTTTTTTCTTTGAGTAATTTTTCCACTAATTCACTTTTCCCGCTACCTGAGGGACCCGCTACAATCACACTAGAGGGTTGTCGAATCATTTTCGCCGTCTGTAATGTTGTACGTTATCTTTTATACCTTTCAGCGCTTGTTTCCCTAAAAGGCCCCTAATTTGATAAAATTAGGAGAAGGACCAGACAACCCCATGGCGACTCCCTCGGCTATTTTATCCTCCAGACGTGGTTTTCGCCTAAATTGTGCACCCCCTTTTTGACTTTTTCGTTTTTTTAGGACTCTACGACGTTTTCGCACCATAGTAATTGATACAATCGCGGTGAGTTCAACTGAATGAGGATTAGTATCTGATCTTTCAAATGTGTTTCACCTATTCCTTTTATATAATTTTTTAAGTCCACCACAACTTAGCTTGCACTAAACATCGTACACATTGCCAATGATACCCATCCCACAGTTCCGCTGGATCAAGACAGAGTCTGATCCATTCTTGTTTGTGATCTTTCCAATAAGACCATTCTTTTTCTAACAGTGCATTAAGCACTTTTTGAACATCACCCCGTAGCATCATGATAGAAGTGACACAGTCAGAAGTAACACACACAATTTTATTAATGAATGAAAAAAGAAGAACTGTTTACATTACATTGCTCATACTCTGTCAGCTCTGTTTTAATGAGACGCTGCAGTTGGTCTGCGACTCGCCTATCATTCAACAGTAAATTATTGGAATGCCACTGAGCTATTAAATCTTGAAAAGAGGCATGTCTGGCTTTTCCTTTTAAAAAGAAAAGTGCGTGATGCCCACACGTAAAACTATCCATGGCTTGTAAAGACTGATCACTGCTAATGATTTCTTTCCACTGGTTGAACCAATCTTGTAAGGTAGGGTTTTTGTAGGTAGATAGCGGTAATCCATACCTGTCAAAGACTTCACAGGTAGTGTGATTCGTCCAAATCGCTAACCAATGTTCACCCGGTTGACTAGCTGGATCTGTGTTAACAATGTAAGCATTCACTCGTTTCTTAGACACGGGAGGTAATTGATCTGCTGGAAACATTGGGTGAATAAGTATGGCACTTATCCAGTACGTTTTCCTGAAATTATCCTGAATCCAGCCAACCAGAACATCCATGACTACTTTGGTATCGCGCAAGTAGATATCCTGGCTCCCGAGCGCCTATTCCATCCGGTGTTACCTGTCAGAGAAGGAGGAAAGCTAACGTTCCCTCTCTGCAGAACCTGCGTGAAAGAAGAAATGGCCAAACCACTCCTAGAACGCAGCAATATGTGCGGTCACACACGTGAACAGCGAATCTTACACGGCACCTGGTGTACTCCGGAACTGCAAAAAGCGGTAGAAAAAGGATACGAAATCCAGAAAATCCATGAAGTCTGGCATTTTACCCCAGAGAACCGCTGCACCGGACTGTTTGCAGAGTATGTCAACACCTGGCTCAAACTAAAACAGGAGAGCGCTGGCTGGCCCAGTGATTGCGTTACTCCGGAGCAGAAAGCAGAGTATGTCCGAGACTACGAGGAACATGAGGGGATTAAACTGGAACATGTCGCAGAAAATCCTGGACGGAAATCTATTGCCAAAATGCTTTTGAACAGGTAACTAGTTATGTTAAAACGTTTTTACGATGAAACCACGATGAAACCCCGATAAAACAATGAAACCACGATGAAACGGCGATTCATCGTCGACGAAACCACGATGAAACCACGATGAAAAATGTTTTAAAGTTTAAGTTGCACACTTTTTCCACAATTAAAATTTTTTTAGTGCAGTAAAAGTCTGCACTTTTTAAATTTAAATTGCAGTGTTTTATTACATTTTTAAGTTCGCGAAATGTTTTGTATCGTGCATTTACCGATGCATAGTACTGATCAAAATTTACAAGGATTTGTATGAAAAATGGTTAAAAAAGTCTGCAGTTAAGAATTTTAAGTTGCAGTGTTTTACTGCATTTTAAGAATCGTGAATTATTTCCACCTGTGTAACGACAAATGCAAGCGACAAATCAAAAGTTATAATCTGCGGACCGCACAGAAAACAATAACAAACTGTTCTTTCTTTTTTCTGTCTTTCAGTTTATGGGGAAAATTTGGCGAACGCCAAAACAAGCCCGTGACCCACTGCATTACACAACCAGCTGACCTCTTCAGAATCCTGGACGATTCCTCCTTGTTTATCTCTGCCATACGTATTTGCTCCGAAGACGTGATGGAGATCGTGACAACCACCGCGGAAGAGGAATATGAACGCAGCTTTAAAACCAACGTGTTCGTGGCGGCGTTCACCACATCACTAGCCAGATTGAAACTCTACGAGGCCCTTGATTTTCTAGGTGACCGATGTCTGTATTACGATACAGACTCGGTCATTTACAAAACCAAACCGGGCCAGGAGAAACTTCCGCTTGGCAGGTACCTCGGGCAATTTACAGACGAGCTGGGAGGCGACAGCATCGTAGAATTCTGTAGCGGCGGCGCCAAAAATTATGGCTACCTAACCAAAAAGGGCAAAGTCGAGTGCAAAGTTCGTGGGTTCACACTCAATTATGAAGCACTGCAGACCTTAAACTATTACACAATGCGCGACAACATCCTGAAAGAACTGGACGAACCCCTTCAGCAGCGCAGAGAGATGGCTATCACCATTACTGATTTCTTTGCACGGGATCAAACGACCAAGAAAATTAAACTCACAGAACGAGTGAAAAAGTATGGACTTGTCTTTGACAAACGTGTCATTGATCCTGCCACTCGCGTGTCCACACCATACGGATACAATTGGTTCGGCGGAGACGCAGAACTGTTACTTTCATTGTAAATAGTTTTTTCTAAATTTTTCTTAAAGGAGGTAAGGTAGCATGGAGGCGCTAACCTCTTTATATGAACATTTTGCATGCTTTTTAACTATTTGAGATTAAATTAGGAGTAGGGTTTGTAACGTTTCATCGAAGGGAGGTGAAATGGCCTAATAAACTAAGTTCGTGACTCAAATTATTTGTGTGGTCTCTGTTAGTATAAATAGAGGGGACATGGATGGATAAGTTACTTTTCGTAAAATGCCGAACATTTACCTGACCCTCGTAAGCGATGTCACCCAAAATTACGCGAGTAATGTGGCAAATCAGTTTAAAGTCAAACCATTTACCTGACCCTCGTAAGCGATGTCACCCAAAATTACGCGAGTAATGTGGCAAATCAGTTTAAAGTCAAACCTCGGTTAAGATTACACGGGGAAGGATGGAAAGTCTCAATTGCTTCGGCAATTTTGCCTAAAATGTCTCTATTTAAAGACTTGCAGAGTGCCGATGTGAATTTAATGGAATTATGGGCTGAGACTGAAAAAGCAAATTAATCCGGTGTGTCGCAAAAAGGCTATATCAGTGCAAGTGATTTACGTGAATGGGAAAAAGCAGGCGCCTGTCATGAAGGGGTGGATTTTTTTAATACAGTGAAACATAGAATAGAAGAAACAGCGCACGCTAGTTTGGATGATGGTTTTAAGTTTAGTTCAGCCCGTTGTCATACATTAGCGTGGAATAAAGACGGGGTGCAACCGGAACTCGTCTTAACTCATAGCCATACGGACAATTCAATTTATGTCTACAAACCGTTGGCGGAAACATTGCATTGGATAAATACCAAGTCTAATCAAGCCGATAGCATGGGACCAAATTTGGTACATAGCTACCCCAATCACACTAAAGGAGCCAGTTCCTTGGAGACGGGAAAACCCACCCAAATACTTGGCAATTGGCTTCATTTAAGTACTCTCTCCGATTGGCGTTTTATTAACCTCAATCAAAGTTTTGAAGATGCCTTAAACCTCTACCCCAGGCCCCTGGAAGTCTCAGCCAAAGTGACCGCTAACAGCGTGACCGTCACGCAATCACTGGGTCAAGTGTACTACGCGCCTCAAGGAAGAGAACGCTATGCATTTTAACCCACCCGAGAAAACTTTTACGAGGTACAAGACAATCATTGGGAAGAGGTTGAAATCACGCTCAAAGAATTTAATGGCAATCTAGTTGAATTTCAATCAGATAGTCAATGTGTGATTCAGTTACATTTTACCAAGAATTAAAACAAGGCACTTTAAATGTAAACAAAATTTAATCGGCAATAAAGAAAAAAAAAAGTTACAGTTTTAGTTTGCGTTTTGCTTGCATAAAGGTTTTGACGATCCGTTCTTGTTTGGTTTTCTTGCCTGGGAGGTTTGTAATAGCGCGTATCATTTTATCGTCCGCTTTCCACTTGTCCTGTAAATTTTTCGCTTTGGAATAATCGACGTCATGGATTTTCGCTAATTCGACTAATCTGTTGACGCCTCGGTCACCCCTCCTTAGTCTTTTTTGAAGCCTGGTCCCTGGACCAAGAAAATTTGCTTTAGGCCAATGAAACTCTTTGCCTGTTTTTTCAATTAATTTTTAAATATCCAACGCACCCCCACGCTGACCGCCCTTTTTTCCCTTTTGCGGTCTTTTTCTGCGAGCCTTCCTTTTACCAATCTTTGCCATCTAATCGTCTTTTTGCTGGTGTCCCAAACGGTTTCCAACCTGGAGCAGGTGCGAGTTTCTTTAAGGCTCTTTCTGTAGCTCTTTTTGATGCCTCGTTAAATTTTTTTTCAATACTCTCCCGAGCTTTTTTCCAAAGGGAATTAGCAGCAAAGCCTTCTTCTTCTTCCGCTGTACTAAAAACACTGGAAGGAGGGGAAGGAGTCTTTTCCTTTTTAGGGGTCTTGTAACCAGATGAAGGAGTCTTTTTAGGGGTCTTAGGTAACAGCCGCTTTGCTTTGGATTCGGTCTTAAACGTTAACTTGGGTTTTTTACTCGTAGAAGGAGTTTGTTTGACCACAGGCGTTTGTAACACTGATTGAGGGGTCACCGGTTCTGCTTTCCTTTTTATAGCCTTACTGATTTTGGAAATATTTCCCATAAAATGTTGTAACGGGCCTACGGCTAAATTTTCATCATCACTGTCGTCTTCATCGCGACTTATTCCTCGTGTTCCTCCTGGTTGACGAATTTTCTTGACCCATTGTAATTCTTGGTTGACTGATTTTAAACGGGGTTCTTTCCATGTATCCGGTGCAGGACTCTCCAACAAAAGTTCTTTTTGAGCTGCTAAACCTGCTGCTTTGGTTAAACGACTATCGTCTAAAAGATTGGATTTATATTTATCTCGCAAACGTAAAAATTGCACTGAGTTTTCAATCGGTGTGGATGAAATGCCGTCCATACTTGCTAATGAAAATAAGAGTTAAGCATTGTCTTTATATCTGTTTGGGTCTGCATCTCTCTTTGACTTTTTGTCGAAACTCTTTGATCATTTGTGCGAGTAGAAGCAAATAGTCTAATACACAAAGAAGTCGTTGTAACACTTTGCGTTTCATGACTTAATAGTGATATTGCCGTTTAGCCAGTGATAACAGCGATGTAATTCTTTCCACGCCCCAGCACCTATCTGTGTACTCATCAAGTGTTTGCGCTTTTTTATACTCTGACGAGGGTTGGCAATGACTCGAAGAGATTGGCGATAGGGTTTTAAACGACTCACTGTTTTTCTCCCAGGTTTGACACTCCCACGCAACGTGTTCATCACTAACTCACTCACAGCATTAATTTGATCTGCATTTGCATACCGTAATTTTTGTTGCCGTTTATTTTGGTTAGCTTCTTTTAACACATCGTTTAAAAAATGACTCTGTCTGGTCATACGTCCTGTCATGTTTATTTCTTTCTTCGTGTTCGTTGACGTCTCTTCCTTTTATACTTCTTTTTCTCTAACACTTGGATTGCTTTTCTAGTACCAAAATTTGTTAATGCACTTAAACCTCCTAACGCGGCCGCTTTTCCTCCAGCCGCTAAAGCTGGAATCGCTGCAGCTGACATGGGAGCAATCCCGCCTCGTTGTCTTCCTCCCCCTGGTTTACCTTTTCTTCTTTTTGGGTGTCCTTTTCGTTTCATGTTGAAATTGGCGTTTGTTTGAGAGTGAACGGCTATTTATATCTTCGTCAAACGTATGAACACGGGTAGCTCCCTCTTCTTTGGTTAAATGACTCCAAATGCGAAAACAGTCATCGGAGGCAGGATGTAAATCCAACATAAAATACCCAAAAGGACGGGAGGTCAGCTTTAAAAACAATTTGAGTACTTGAAGCCATTTTTCAGGGTACACCTGAAGCAGTAAATGTCGAATACCTGTCTTATCCCTGGGTGATTTAAAACAAATCACATAGTGTGCATTGCGGTTAATGGTTTTCGCAAACTTGCCTGGGGCAAAGAGATCTTGTGTAATATAAAGAGCGGTAATGCCTCGATGGTGAGAATCTTTCGTAAATAAATCCAAGACGCGTTTATCACTCCCCGATTCTTCCATTAAATCATTCAAAATGAGTATGCCATGATGCTCTGGTTTAAACCATTTTACGAGAGTCCCTACAGGAGGAAGTCCTTTGTAAAACATAATATGTTTTTTCATGCGATCAAATCGGGGTTGCCATCGGTCATAACAATACACTATTTTTTTCGGAGGAGGGTCAAACAATGTTTTTTCTTTGAGTAATTTTTCCACTAATTCACTTTTCCCGCTACCTGAGGGACCCGCTACAATCACACTAGAGGGTTGTCGAATCATTTTCGCCGTCTGTAATGTTGTACGTTATCTTTTATACCTTTCAGCGCTTGTTTCCCTAAAAGGCCCCTAATTTGATAAAATTAGGAGAAGGACCAGACAACCCCATGGCGACTCCCTCGGCTATTTTATCCTCCAGACGTGGTTTTCGCCTAAATTGTGCACCCCCTTTTTGACTTTTTCGTTTTTTTAGGACTCTACGACGTTTTCGCACCATAGTAATTGATACAATCGCGGTGAGTTCAACTGAATGAGGATTAGTATCTGATCTTTCAAATGTGTTTCACCTATTCCTTTTATATAATTTTTTAAGTCCACCACAACTTAGCTTGCACTAAACATCGTACACATTGCCAATGATACCCATCCCACAGTTCCGCTGGATCAAGACAGAGTCTGATCCATTCTTGTTTGTGATCTTTCCAATAAGACCATTCTTTTTCTAACAGTGCATTAAGCACTTTTTGAACATCACCCCGTAGCATCATGATAGAAGTGACACAGTCAGAAGTAACACACACAATTTTATTAATGAATGAAAAAAGAAGAACTGTTTACATTACATTGCTCATACTCTGTCAGCTCTGTTTTAATGAGACGCTGCAGTTGGTCTGCGACTCGCCTATCATTCAACAGTAAATTATTGGAATGCCACTGAGCTATTAAATCTTGAAAAGAGGCATGTCTGGCTTTTCCTTTTAAAAAGAAAAGTGCGTGATGCCCACACGTAAAACTATCCATGGCTTGTAAAGACTGATCACTGCTAATGATTTCTTTCCACTGGTTGAACCAATCTTGTAAGGTAGGGTTTTTGTAGGTAGATAGCGGTAATCCATACCTGTCAAAGACTTCACAGGTAGTGTGATTCGTCCAAATCGCTAACCAATGTTCACCCGGTTGACTAGCTGGATCTGTGTTAACAATGTAAGCATTCACTCGTTTCTTAGACACGGGAGGTAATTGATCTGCTGGAAACACGCCACGAAAATAGGGTCGTAATTCGCGATCGTCTTCTGCTAAGTATTTGAGGACTGTATCACTGAGAGGTACGAACTCCATCCTAGCTGTTGATGGAATAAAGAATGCCTCCCCACTGGTCTATTTCATAGACATTTTCGTACTCACTCCAAATTACCACGGTCACGTTGTGACCTACATTGGCTCTGAAGTCAATTTCATAACTGACAT